ATATGCTAGTCTACAGTAGCATCTTTTCTAGATTTTCCCCCAAACAATCTTTCCATAGATGTCATATTCTAAAATGTTCCTTCCCTTCCTTCCAGCATTGCTAAGCACATCAAAAAAAATCCACCTAATGTTTTTTAAGAGTCTATTCTGGCCCATTTGCCACAAGAATTTTATAACTCTTATGTTATATGTATCCCTAACAAAGGATTTAATTTGTCTTAATACAACACACACTGCCATTCTTGTACACTAAATATACATGTTTGCAAATAAACTGGCATTACAGAAGCATTTTTAGTACCGTTTACACAAAATTACTAATTCTAAACATTTTATAACTTAAAACTGGAATGATATATTCATTGATTAGTTTGTTAGAGAGAAAAATTGAACACTCCAACCTGTGGGCAAACCAAGAGTAAAATAGTTGTCGGGGCCGGGCTTGAACTGACGAATGCGTTTACGAACGTACTTGGCGGCCCAAGTACTAGTTTCGTCATAATTATTCAAAATGACCAGTCTCATTCTTTCGATTTAGATTCTGGAAATATAAAATTTTCTACAATCAATCGATAGTCGGACAAGCCATCGCCATCTTGTACAGTAAAAACACTATACAAAACCTTGAAGCTTTTATAGAAAAATATGTAAATTAAAATGCTAATACAATAGAGTATTGTTTACTTTTAATTTAACAAGGTAAAATATTAAAAAATATAACTTAATATACTTTGAAACTAACTGATTTATTATTATTATTTTTACTATTACTATTAATACAATGCTAACTTGGACTGCCACCAATAGGGATGCATCATCTCTATCAGTCGGATCAAATTTTCTTCCCATTATTTTACTATTCTGTGTTATTCTGAACCATTTATTAACTAATCGTAGGTCGAGGCAGACAAATTTCGACCAGAAATCTTTTTAAAAAAATGTCGGCCTCCTTAAATAAGTAGCCATTCGACTCGTTTTATTTTCAAACCCGTAACGTAACATGTCTCAGAAAATACAAAATTATTACAAAAAAAGCAATCCAAATACCTACAAAATAATGGTTTCAAATCCTTTTGACTTAAATACTTCCCGTTTAAATTAAGCTTTCTGAGCGATCTCGCTTCTCCTTTTTGTTAATCTTAGTCCAGTTTTATTAACTCCCTTCTTCCTTTCAAGTATCTTTTTAGATAAAATGTAGTTTAATACAGTTTCTCCCATAAATCCCGGTCGATGTATTAATTACAGGATTATTAGATGACTCATTAAATCTTACAGTTTTAGACTTTCTGCCTATCTAGGTTAAGTAAAGAGGTAAAATTAAAACTCAATTTTAGTACAACGCACCCCATCTAACCGAAAATAATCATAGTACGAGTCGTTCCAATTAGCAAAACGTTCAGTTTAGCAAAATAATTTGGAAAAGAATCGCAAAGAGCTGCAGACAGATGTATTTTACTTCCTACGGACGGGACGACGTAGCAAAGAGTCTGCAGGCTCATCTCGTCCCTTCCAGGCAGACAAACTTCCCGGAACGGTTGGCAGAGTCGAGCCACCAAAACCGAACATATTAAGCATTTTCTCAAAATTAGAAGTGCGGAAGTATAAAGAAGGGAGGCGAGGGATGGAGAGAAGAGAGCCGACGTTTCCCACAAACAATCGGCATCACTCCTAAGCACAAAGGTCTAAATTCGTCCCCACCTACTACAGATTTTAACATAATTTATAGCATTTTTAAAGCATAATTCCACAACCACTGTTTTTTTAGCCGAACATTCGGCCGCAAAGCCAACGAATTAGGTTCGGATTAGCAACGGTGCACCCTACTTCTTATCAAAGGAGATCATCTATTGCAAAACTTAACTGAATTCGCCAAGCATTTTAATAAGCGGTGAGCAAGATAAGCAACCCTCCCCTTCCATATTTTTACAAAGGAATGGCAGATTTAAAAGGTTTAAAAGTTCTGGCTCCGTATGGGGGGGTGTCTCCGCCAGGGGGATCTTGGCCTTCCACTGGGGGTGACAACCCTTTACGCCCTCAACCTATCTAGGTCATCGCGCCGTATTTTTTACAGGTAAACCAATTACCCGTCCGATACTTACCGTCTCACACGCCTCAAATTCTCAACTGATAAGTACAGAAGGTCGACGTGAATCTCAACGTCCGTATTACTCGAAACCGACGAGTTTTATACGACGGAAATCTTCCATCGCACCACCGAATCAAAGTACGACCGGCGTCATTTCCTCGATGTTACGTCACTCTCTCACCTAATGACGTCAAATTAATTAAAGGTTTCGTGCCCTCCTCTCATTCGTCCGAAGCATTTTAATTAAATAAACCGTTATTAATTCGTCGCCATTGCGTTTTCTATCTCGATCGTTATATTTATCTTATTTATAATTGTTGTTTAAGTTTTTTTTTTTTTTTCCTATTGGCAACGACGTCTTACGAAGGCGTACTATTTAATCCGATCGAGATTATAAAAATAAAATCCCCTAATTACAGATCTCGGATAACTTTACGTTTGTCCGACGTCACTTCCGCGCTTCTCTGACGTAAAGATGTCGACGGACCGAAGATTCCGAATTCGATTTCTCCACCGCCGCTGTATATATATATATATACAGTATTCCTTATTCAGTTATCGATTACAGCATTATTATATACTGTACTGTTTTTATATATCATTAAATACCGTAAAAGTATCGCGCTATTTTTAATTTCCCCGCTGTCTTATATATAACGGAGGAAAAGTACGGCGATCGGTAGAAAAAATAACCCGCCCCTTCCCCGAAGATCTTTACATTTTTGGACTCGGGACACTTTAAAACGTCGAGAAATGCAAAAAAAATTCGGGGAAAATTTCGTTGTGTGTGTAAGAAAACGTTACGCGTTTACCGAAATTCGAATTAGCGCCGTGGATTATTTTTACGTTCAAGTATTTAACATCGACGTAATTCGTCTCTTCGGTGGATTTCGAGTTTGAGTTTTTTTTTTTTAAATAAATTTCTGTGATTTTTAATAAATTATTTAAAAAGTTTACAATTAAAAAACATTTTTTTTTGTTATTCGACGTTTTTTAGTATTTCGTGCGGAAGAGGGCGCTTTTCGGTGACTGTCGATTTCGAAGCTCTAGTGGCGAAATTGATCATTTTAGGGTAAGTTCGGCGTGTTCCAAAGGCACACGATTAATTTATAAAATATAGACAAAGGTGACGATTCTAGAAGGCCTCTTATAAATTAGGGCGCGTAGGATTAGGCTTTAATGCAGCGATAGGGGTAAAAGTTTACCATAACTTCTACGCAGCAACGTACACAAGGAGTAAGACTTTATATTTTAGGTCCATTAGAAGAGAAGTGAAGATAGAGGGTAATTTCTAACCCTGCTCTGTGGGCACTAAAGGGTTTTTATTAAGCCCATTGTGGGTTGGGCCGGGTGGTGAGGGACGGAGTTCCGTGCGGGCTACCGTCGGACCGTGGTCTTTTGGTCCGGATTTGATGGCCGCTTAACTGCACGGTCCGGTTGTCTTTACGATGGATTGGTAAATTCAAGTACGAAACTGCTCTTCTGCTTTTGGCGGTGCCAAATTGGTTACGGAAAGTAAGTTCGGTCGTGCGGTTGTCTCCGTTTTGACGGACAAATTTAAGGCGAAGACAGGCTCTCGCCGCGTCGTCGGAGGTGGTTTTTCTTTATTGTTGCCGCTTCTCCTTTTTTTGGGTATAATTTCAAAAAGTTTTACGGGAAACTCGAAGTCTGACGACGTGCGCTACTAATCAAATTTTTCCAGTTACGATAATTGATTGTGTGATAACTTTTTTTTTTTTTTTTTTTTCAGAAATCTGCGAGAGTGTTTTTTAGTACAGTATAATAGATGAAATGTGTGATGCGCAAGATATTTCCAAAAGTAATTTGCAGTAAGAGCAGTCTTATGTCAAATAAGGAGCCTTTAATGATTAAAATGTCTTGCATTCTGGTATTTTGCCATACCGTTTCCCTTTGCACAAAATGCTTAAATTTTTTTTAAGTTTGTTTGTGGAAAACATAGAATTTTACTGGATTTAGAAAATGGGATTTTGTGGAATTTGCATATGAATTGCTGATAATACTGTGCACTTTTATCCAAAATAATTGATTTGGCAAGTTTCAGTTGTGTGTAGGAGTTTTCTGAGGCATCGGGATCCAAAGGGGAGTTAACTTTGTCGGGATCATTCAAAAATTGAGTGCTTGCTTTCCAAATAGATTAGTTGGATCTAAATGTGGCACTTATCAAATGGTCATTTAAAAAAATACTGTATTTACTTGCAAATAAGACGACCTCACATATAGAACAAGGTGTGACTTTAAAGATCAAAATAAAGAAAATTAGTTTTATTAATNTGCTATTAATTTCGAATGCATATTATTTCGAAACCTTCTCGTTGGCGCCTTTATTAAATTGGCCATACCCTAGTTACGGCTCTGGTTTTAAGATACTGGTGGCATTATCTGATGTTCAATTGGACCACAACTATAGTCATTTAAATACATGTCTGAGATGTATGCTAGGTTTTGCAGTAACTGAGCAATCATCTGGATGTAAAAGTTTTTGTCGACAAGTTTATATTAAAAAGACAGAAATGGAGCAAGTGTAATAGAAGAACAAGAGAGACAATAGACAAACAAGTCCATAAAGATTGTTGTATATCCATGAAAGTAAACATTTAGGGAGAGGGAAAAAAATTCACTGATAGTCTAGTCAACTCATACTAAATATAATTTTGTAGTAAAACCATCATCTGCTTTAGTTCAATGTCTGAGTATAGAAACTATCACATGCAGTGCTAGCTTAATGCTAACTTACACCTTTTGCTGCCTCTGTTTCTAGCATGATTGCCAATAGAGAGCACTCCTAGTGCTGGCACAATTTATACAAACAATACATTCACCATATTCAACTTATCTTTTTCTCCTTTTGAACATTTGTGGGTGGGAATTATCTGCTAAAAGTAAACACAGACCATTCAAACAAAATATTTTTATTTGGTAAATTAGGCCAGGACCAAGGAGGTGTTATTGGTCTTTAGTGTCTTCTGGGATATCGTCATCCTGAATCAGTGTATTGTGGAGTCTCATCAAGCCTTTGAAGTACTTGACCGTCTTGACTCTCAGCTCCAGAGTGGCATCTTCATCGCATACAAAGATAGTCCGAGGGTGTAATTGGAACGCTGATACTGTCCACATATGATTCACTCCCTCTTCTATAGCTTTGTACAGAGCAAAGGCCTTGTGAGCCCCCGTAATCAATATCATCACCTACAAAGACAAAAAGATGCATTATGTAATATTGATGACTACTTCCAGAACTTTAATTTAATAAATACGCAAATTCTGGAATGAGATGGATTAATATACTAAAAATTTTTTGCGTCTGTAATCCATCTCATCCTCAACCAAACATCTAGCATATACAGTTTATGGGAGAGAATACCTCTTTGGCATCCATGACGGTTCCAACACCAACTGTCAATGCTTCGTGTGGAACTTTAGTAAGGTCATTGCCAAAGAATCTAGCATTGGCCAGGATAGTGTCCATAGCTAAAGTTTTGACTCTTGTTCTAGATGACAGACTGGATCCTGGTTCATTGAAGGCAATGTGTCCATCAGGTCCAATGCCTGTGATTCATGTAACAAAAGAGCATTATAAACATATTGAGAATATTACACAATCCAAGTAAGTCGAATTCAATGTATTGTGAAGTTTTTTTGGTTTTTTTCCAAAAAAATCCAGTTACAACCGATCAAATATCTATGTTTTTTCTTTTCAGAAAAGCATGACAATGACACATACATTTCGGATTGAAGTGCATGTGTAATTAGTGATCCCTCTTCAGTGTTACTGTATAAAACATAACATTAGTTATTACAAATGTTTAATAAAATATTTCTTATATATAATAACTAATGTTATGTTTCATACAGTAACACTGAAGAGGGATCACTAATTAAACTTCAATCCAAAATGCATGTGTCATGTTTTTCTGAAAAGAAAAGAAAATAGATATTTGATCAGTTGTAACTGGATTTTCTGGAAAAAAACCAAAGAAACCTCACCTGTCAAATTCAATTTATAAAGGATATTACACACTAATATTATGGTTTCCCATTGAAAAGTTTATACTTGGATTATTTGTCAAAAAATAAAACTGAAATTAATTACCTCCTATGAAAAGCTCAATTCCTCCTGCTTCGGTGATTTTCTTTTCAAACTGGTCACATTCTTCCTGCAAGTTTTGCGCGTTTCCATTCAGAATGTGCACATTCTCTGGCAAGATGTCCACATGCTTGAAGAAATTATTGAACATGAATGAATGGTAACTCTCTGGATGATCTCTGGGTAAACCTGCAATTCACAAATCTCTAATGTCAAAGGGCCAACAGAAATCTACCCATCCCTATTCTTGATCTTCTATGGAAACACCTAGCAACCAAAACTTTATCAAATAGTCAGAATATTCTTTAAAAAGTGCAGAAATGATTTTGGTGGGGGAAAAAAACAGTTCCAGAAGTTACTTGAGAAATTTGATGCTTCCAGTCGAGAGAAAGCAAAGGTCAACATGGGATGCAATTTTTATCAATAGTTGGAAGTCCAGAACAATGTATCACAGTACTGACAGTACAATCTATGATATTTCCATATAAATAATTGTATATTAGCTCATTCGTGACATAGTGCGGCGGCGGGCCAGATGACCCGACCTCACAAGCCAGTTTTAATGACCCCTGCTGTAAATGATCAAGTTTCATAGATTGACATCAGCTTTTTTTGTAATTGGAAAGGGGGATAGTTGTGTGTCAAGGTCAGGATAATAAAACTTTATTACTTTCACAGGAGAGTGTGAAATGAAAACAAACAGTCACACATAATTTTAAAGTAAACAAACTGCAAACTATTTTATTAGGGTTTAAACAAAAGTTTCCTTTCAGTTTTAAGAAAATCGGATGACAATGTTATTGCATTCGGAAGAATGTTGACTATTTTTGCAACTCAGTGCAAAAATAGTCAACATTCAGATCTCGTTGTCCCGAGCAAATGCAAACATCCATTTGAGATTAATTGAATATAAGCAATGATATTTTTGTAAAAATGTATTTATTTTGAATTGCTATTGTGTCAAATCGCATTTATTACGTGCAACACTCGCAAGAGTTATACTCACATAATTTTCCGCATCTTTGCCGTATTAGTTGAGTCCCGCGGTGCATAAACTAATCTTAAAATAGCTTTCTTATTATTATTTATTTCACAACTGGGTGCAAGCTTTCTTACTACCGATTTATTTCTGCTTCATTTTTAAAAATATTTTTTACTTTTTCAATTGACACGTTTTAGAAATACAGTAATATATTATTTTTATGAATTAAAATTTAGTAATAGTATCGAAAATTTTGTTGTTTCATAAAAATATTTATTGGCGAAACTGCTAAAATTCATGGAAACTTTTGCATATTTCTACCTTGTCTTTTTACTGTACTTTCTATGTTTTATAAATGAAATGATTAAAGTTAATTTGATTACTGTAATTTTTGTAATTTACAAGGAAACGATATTTGATATGTTTACTTCTTTTCTTTATCGGATCAAATTTCAAAAGAAAAAACATAAGAAACCTGAGAAGGAAAAAAATTACGTAATATGTAAAATTGTAGTTTCCAATATGTGTTGGTTATAATTTCATAATCTTGCATGCATCACTCATGTAAGGCGACACGTGCAAGGCTATAATAGCGAGCAGCAATTAGTATTGATGGCAGAGAGCCCTAAAAGATGCCCACGTCGATCATTTTCCTCACCCGTCACGTCGCAGAACAAAACAGTCCATTTCAAATTGCTTGATAGCAGGTAGAACTGACCTTGGCTTTATGTGTTTAACTTCTGCTCATACTAATTGTTTAGAAATAGGTGTAAAGTTTTATGCAGAGAACAATACATTAAAGACAATATTTCATTTGGGTTAGTATTTGTTTGTAATGGTTCATAAGACAGTGTAAACCGAGCTTAACTCATATTGCTTCTAGTTATTAGAACACACTCAAAAGGATCATTTTTTTCAAGTCTGCATTTCTAGGAGGATGGCTTTTGATGGCATTAAATTCTCTGCCAGGAACTCAAATTGTTTCCTCTCAATGAAAATGATTTCCACATCTTCTGAGTAATTCTTAATAAATTTGGTAAAACTTAAGCTGCTAGATACCTCCAATACAGATATTTTAATTACGACTGCATGAATTTTATTTTGCAGCGTGTTAAACATAATTAACTTTCCTACTTTTCTAATTTCATAACAGAAATTGTATTTACTCATGTAGATTAGAAAACTTTACTATTTACACTTTTGCTTCTCTCAATTCTAGTAAATAGTTTTATCAGGATATTTTTGGAATCAATCTCCAACATTTATCTCACTGTTTAGTAATTAAACAAGACAATAAAATTTTTCTCTCTTCCTAGAAATAAACAAAATGCAGAAGACAAAAACTAATCTACTCATCCAGCATGCTACCACCACCATATTGTTTGGTTTTAAACAAGTATTTACCACAATTTAAAAGGAGAATGCTCACATTGTGTGGAATGTAAAAGCAGTGCATTTCTGGCAAATTTCATTTCCAGAGAACTGCAAATATTGCTGCTTTAATGGCAAAGCAAATTCCTGGAAATCCTAACTGGACTCAAAAGTTTAACAGAGATTTGAAAGAACTAATTGCCATAGACCAAGTAAACAAAGATTTCCAATGTAATTGGGAATCGTTTTATCAATAACAACTAAATTTGTCAGTGCATAATCTTGTAGTTAAGTTGGATAGATATAATAATAATAATGAATCAACAATATCAATAAAACATACTATCAATAACGCTTATTGCTAAAATCTATTGTAGTAAGACTTGATAGTAGTCTGTTTTATCTGTTGCCCATTAAATGATGCTTTTTATTAGCTAAATACCTAATAATAAAGTTTTAGAAGTTAGCTTAGAATTTTAAGTTTTAAAATGATATTTACTTGTTTTACTGACAGTTGCATATCTATACAATTGCCAGAATGTTACACTCTACTGCAGAATTTAGCAAAGATTTCACAAATAAATATATGCATTGAAACATTTTTAAAATAATCATTTAATCTCTCAAGTCTCACAAGATTGCATTCCACTGTATATTATTGGATATAAGTGAAATTCTGTTAACCTGGCATCCACTATGCCAGCAAACCCAATAAACTGCCATTATTAATTAGGGAGGGTTATTGATACACTGAGTAAATCTAGAGAGTTAAGATTTTTGTATGAAAGCATTTAAAACATGCAGTTCTTGGAAAAGGGTGTGGGTAGAGATGACAAATGCCAAGACAACATGATTCCATGCTAAGTAAAACCAGTTAGCTCATGATTTTTCTAAAGACTTTTCTAAAAACATTAGTGCATGGATTTGATTTGAGAAGCAGAAATATCTAGCACATTTGGAATCAATAATTATTATAAAGAGCTACAGCAAACTCTAATTATGAAAGTACATGAACAGTAGAGTTTGCTGTATTTATATACAATAAAAGTGTACAATGCACAAAGTAAGAAAAGTGTTCTTGTTTCAAGCTAACCAAGGATAGGAATAGTCTGGAAAAACAATCATAAAACACAGGTTTGTACAGTTTTACACGTGAAGATACGTAAAAATAAAATTTGTCCAGCATATTTGATAACGAGGCACTACATTGGTCCCGATGATGCCGGTTAATAGAATGTCACTATACCAGAATAAAGATTTTCCAATGAATCTCTATCTGAATTGGAGTAAGTAAGAATATTGTTCATAAATGCATTCAAAAATTCAATGTGTTGAACAATCTCAAAAATATCAGAACAAGAATCTTCCTGCTATGCCAGTTTTTTCAAATGGCATAGAGAAGAAATATCAGAAACTCTGAACAAAATTATAAAGGCAGTTAAATTTGTTAATTATTATTTGGAAATAAATTATCAATTGCTTTAATAAACATACCTCTCTTAGGGTGCGACTATGCAGACACGAATTTAGAGCAAGCGAGATATTGCGAGAGATTTAATTGTAGTGCTAGGCACGTGTATTTTAATTATTATTCTGTTATATATTGTGAGTTGTCACACCTTGGTTTGGGTTCTTTGTTTGTTCTTTTCAAATTTTTGTATCGCGCGCCACCTTATGGTGGATTTTGTCAGTGCCATGATTGGCCCCTTGGTGACCACGTGTGTGGTGAAGGGAGGAGTGTATAGGAAGTTATAAAAAGGGCGACCCGTGAGGAAGAAAAGGACTTGGTCTTCTTTCTGCTGTGGGATTCCTGGACTGCGAAAAGGAAGACGAGGAAAAAAAAAGGACAAAGGAGGTAAAGCTCAATCCATATGCGGACTAAGGAGCGGACTGAACGAAGTAAGTGAAGGAATCGGATTACATCGGGCTCGGTATTCGTCGGGGAATTATCTAACTAAGGTTGGGTAAGGAAACATCGTCAACCTGTTTTCAGTGGCCCATTAGTTTGGACAAAGGATGAATTCTCGTTTACACGTGGTCGCAGCTCCAATCGGACATCCACTCACAAAGGAGACTGCCCTATATTGATTATCGCAGTGGCAGATCTGCTGTGGCAGATCTGCTATGTAATTCATCTGTAACATCCATTGTGAACGATTTGATACCGGTACCCGCAAACTTTGAAAGTGACTGTGATAATAAGGAAGCGAAATTGGTGTAAGATCGTTACGAGCATATAGCTTATGTTCTCTAGTACTTATTGTATCAACGCGAAAGGGGATTCGATATAAAATTTTCTTTTCTCTAAAATTCGTGTAAGGTCCTCATTTACTCTTACCCACATTACGATCTGGATCACTTTGGTGATCCCTTTGATCTACATAATTTTCGCAAAGAAAAACCATGCACAAACGAGAAGCGAGAAATAACACTAGCGAGAGCAAATCTCTGGTTCTCACACATATCTGACAGGTTTTGATATTTATCGCATCTCACCTCTTCTCGCCACATATTCTCACTCACTCGGAAAATTCGCTCACTTGCGTCTGCATAGCCACAGCCTTAGTAATGAAAAAGAATAGTGTACAGTAGGTGATTGGTTAATGAACAGTTTGTACAGTGAACAAATAGGATAACAAACACTTTTGAAAAAGATTTTTTGTTTGGACAATGAACACTTCACAGAACAAACACAAAAAGAAGCGACATAAAATAAACCGATTGGTTTAATAATAATTAATAATACCAATTGGTTTTCCCTTGTCTCCAAGTAACAATTCAAAACCTTCCGGAGCGCAGAAGACGTTCGACCTAATACCAATCAGATATTATTCCTTCAAACTTTGAAATTCTCCATTGTAATTCCAGCTTTTTCTTACTTTTCTGACAAATAATTTTTTAGTCTTTGCAAGACTATTGGATGCTTGTTAAGTTTTGTGTCAATTTTTATTTTCTAAAAGGTGAGAGTTTAAATGTCCTATTGGATATTTGTTAACAGTAACACCAAAACTTCAAATTTCACCCAGGTCTCACATTTACATAATTCTTTAGTAATTAATTTCCGTTCACTGAATTTTCGCGGGTACTTTTCTAAACTTTTTATTTCTAAAAGACATTGATAATATCATGAAGCCTAAAAAGAGTGGAGTGTCAAGAACCTTGCTCACCTTAGAAACCAAGCAAGAGATAATAGCCAAGAGCAGTAGAGAGTGGGCAGATGTCTCATGGTGCTTGGCACTATGGCTCGAACAGGTCTACAGTAGGCACAATCTTAGGCACAAATTATTTATTTCCAACAGCAAATAAATAATTTGACACAAAGTTAATAATAATCTAATTTATATAAACAAACTTACCTACATATTCATCCATGTTAAATGTTTTAACATAGCGAAAAGAAACCGTTCCTTCCTTGTAAAATTCAATTAGTTTTTTATAGGTTGCTAGAGGCGTACTTCCTGAAAATATTTAAATATTTATACAAATTTAAAGTATAATAATTGTAATTTATTGTATAAAACCTTTATAAAGATTCAAAATAATTTATCTTATTTGTGAATTTTTGTAATATGTCGTATTTTTTGAAATCTCCAGAGATCCAAAAGAATAGGAGAATTTGCCTTTTCTCAACCTATAAATACATCAGTTTATGGAGTTTATAAAATAATTAAAACATAAAATGATTAACTTTTCTAAACATTAAAAACTTGCTGACAAAAGTAATAGATGCAATTGTCACATTCAATTAAAAGTACAGTACTTTAGCTACTAACTACTAAATACTAACTTTCCCCATTCTTGCTTTTATCAATTAACGACAACAAGTCCTAATGAAAGTCTATATGCCATTAATATAATAATATTTATTCCAATGTTAGATTACGAATTGCATTTTTTTTCTTTGATATGGATTGATAACATGAAAAAATGATATCTTTCTAGGTCTTCCCTTTCTGGTCTTTAGAATTTTTTCAGGTCAAGTTACTCAAAATTCAGGTTATCTAGAGTTGAAACAGTAGGCTAATAAATCGTGTTATACAATGAAAAATATTAGTTTTTGTACAATAACTTTGTAGCAGGATATATAAACAAACATCAGCTAACCCGATAAACATTAAAGCAACCAAAGCCGAATTATAGCCGCTTCTAGCCCGTTAATTTGGCTTTGGTTGCTTTAACGTAGCAAGATATTTTTCCTATTTCTGTTAATAAACGTATAATTTTAATAATAATTAAAATATGTTATATGCTAGTCTACAGTAGCATCTTTTCTAGATTTTCCCCCAAACAATCTTTCCATAGATGTCATATTCTAAAATGTTCCTTCCCTTCCTTCCAGCATTGCTAAGCACATCAAAAAAAATCCACCTAATGTTTTTTAAGAGTCTATTCTGGCCCATTTGCCACAAGAATTTTATAACTCTTATGTTATATGTATCCCTAACAAAGGATTTAATTTGTCTTAATACAACACACACTGCCATTCTTGTACACTAAATATACATGTTAGCAAATAAACTGGCATTACAGAAGCATTTTTAGTACCGTTTACACAAAATTACTAATTCTAAACATTTTATAACTTAAAACTGGAATGATATATTCATTGATTAGTTTGTTAGAGAGAAAAATTGAACACTCCAACCTGTGGGCAAACCAAGAGTAAAATAGTTGTCGGGGCCGGGCTTGAACTGACGAATGCGTTTACGAACGTACTTGGCGGCCCAAGTACTAGTTTCGTCATAATTATTCAAAATGACCAGTCTCATTCTTTCGATTTAGATTCTGGAAATATAAAATTTTCTATAATCAATCGATAGTCGGACAAGCCATCGCCATCTTGTACAGTAAAAAAACTATACAAAACTTTGAAGCATTTATAGAAAAATATGTAAATTAAAATGCTAATACAATAGAGTATTGTTTACTTTTAATTTAACAAGGTAAAATATTAAAAAATATAACTTAATATACTTCAAGACTAACTGATTTGTTGTTATTATTTTTATTATTATTATTAATACAATGCTAACTTGGACTGCCACCAATAGGGATGCATCATCTCTATCAGTCGGATCAAATTTTCTTCCCATTATTTTACTATTCTGTGTTATTCTGAACCATTTATTAACTAATCGTAGGTCGAGGCAGACAAATTTCGACCAGAAATCTTTTTAAAAAAATGTCGGCCTCCTTAAATAAGTAGCCATTCGACTCGTTTTATTTTCAAACCCGTAACGTAACATGTCTCAGAAAATACAAAATTATTACAAAAAAAGCAATCCAAATACCTACAAAATAATGGTTTCAAATCCTTTTGACTTAAATACTTCCCGTTTAAATTAAGCTTTCTGAGCGATCTCGCTTCTCCTTTTTGTTAATCTTAGTCCAGTTTTATTAACTCCCTTCTTCCTTTCAAGTATCTTTTTAGATAAAATGTAGTTTAATACAGTTTCTCCCATAAATCCCGGTCGATGTATTAATTACAGGATTATTAGATGACTCATTAAATCTTACAGTTTTAGACTTTCTGCCTATCTAGGTTAAGTAAAGAGGTAAAATTAAAACTCAATTTTAGTACAACGCACCCCATCTAACCGAAAATAATCATAGTATGAGTCGTTCCAATTAGCAAAACGTTCAGTTTAGCAAAATAATTTGGAAAAGAATCGCAAAGAGCTGCAGACAGATGTATTTTACTTCCTACGGACGGGACGACGTAGCAAAGAGTCTGCAGGCTCATCTCGTCCCTTCCAGGCAGACAAACTTCCCGGAACGGTCGGCAGAGTCGAGCCACCAAAACCGAACATATTAAGCATTTTCTCAAAATTAGAAGTGCGGAAGTATAAAGAAGGGAGGCGAGGGATGGAGAGAAGAGAGCCGACGTTTCCCACAAACAATCGGCATCACTCCTAAGCACAAAGGTCTAAATTCGTCCCCACCTACTACAGATTTTAACATAATTTATAGCATTTTTAAAGCATAATTCCACAACCACTGTTTTTTTAGCCGAACATTCGGCCGCAAAACCAACGAATTAGGTTCGGATTAGCAACGGTGCACCCTACTTCTTATCAAAGGAGATCATCTATTGCAAAACTTAACTGAATTCGCCAAGCATTTTAATAAGCGGTGAGCAAGATAAGCAACCCTCCCCTTCCATATTTTTACAAAGGAATGGCAGATTTAAAAGGTTTAAAAGTTCTGGCTCCGTATGGGGGGGTGTCTCCGCCAGGGGGATCTTGGCCTTCCACTGGGGGTGACAACCCTTTACGCCCTCAACCTATCTAGGTCATCGCGCCGTATTTTTTACAGGTAAACCAATTACCCGTCCGATACTTACCGTCTCACACGCCTCAAATTCTCAACTGATAAGTACAGAAGGTCGACGTGAATCTCAACGTCCGTATTACTCGAAACCGACGAGTTTTATACGACGGAAATCTTCCATCGCACCACCGAATCAAAGTACGACCGGCGTCATTTCCTCGATGTTACGTCACTCTCTCACCTAATGACGTCAAATTAATTAAAGGTTTCGTGCCCTCCTCTCATTCGTCCGAAGCATTTTAATTAAATAAACCGTTATTAATTCGTCGCCATTGCGTTTTCTATCTCGATCGTTATATTTATCTTATTTATAATTGTTGTTTAAGTTTTTTTTTTTTTCCTATTGGCAACGACGTCTTACGAAGGCGTACTATTTAATCCGATCGAGATTATAAAAATAAAATCCCCTAATTACAGATCTCGGATAACTTTACGTTTGTCCGACGTCACTTCCGCGCTTCTCTGACGTAAAGATGTCGAAGGACCGAAGATTCCGAATTCGATTTCTCCACCGCCGCTGTATATATATATATATACAGTATTCCTTATTCAGTTATCGATTACAGCATTATTATATACTGTACTGTTTTTATATATCATTAAATACCGTAAAAGTATCGCGCTATTTTTAATTTCCCCGCTGTCTTATATATAACGGAGGAAAAGTACGGCGATCGGTAGAAAAAATAACCCGCCCCTTCCCCGAAGATCTTTACATTTTTGGACTCGGGACACTTTAAAACGTCGAGAAATGCAAAAAAAATTCGGGGAAAATTTCGTTGTGTGTGTAAGAAAACGTTACGCGTTTACCGAAATTCGAATTAGCGCCGTGGATTATTTTTACGTTCAAGTATTTAACATCGACGTAATTCGTCTCTTCGGTGGATTTCGAGTTTGAGTTTTTTTTTTTTAAATAAATTTCTGTGATTTTTAATAAATTATTTAAAAAGTTTACAATTAAAAAACATTTTTTTTTGTTATTCGACGTTTTTTAGTATTTCGTGCGGAAGAGGGCGCTTTTCGGTGACTGTCGATTTCGAAGCTCTAGTGGCGAAATTGATCATTTTAGGGTAAGTTCGGCGTGTTCCAAAGGCACACGATTAATTTATAAAATATAGACAAAGGTGACGATTCTAGAAGGCCTCTTATAAATTAGGGCGCGTAGGATTAGGCTTTAATGCAGCGATAGGGGTAAAAGTTTACCATAACTTCTACGCAGCAACGTACACAAGGAGTAAGACTTTATATTTTAGGTCCATTAGAAGAGAAGTGAAGATAGAGGGTAATTTCTAACCCTGCTCTGTGGGCACTAAAGGGTTTTTATTAAGCCCATTGTGGGTTGGGCCGGGTGGTGAGGGACGGAGTTCCGTGCGGGCTACCGTCGGACCGTGGTCTTTTGGTCCGGATTTGATGGCCGCTTAACTGCACGGTCCGGTTGTCTTTACGATGGATTGGTAAATTCAAGTACGAAACTGCTCTTCTGCTTTTGGCGGTGCCAAATTGGTTACGGAAAGTAAGTTCGGTCGTGCGGTTGTCTCCGTTTTGACGGACAAATTTAAGGCGAAGACAGGCTCTCGCCGCGTCGTCGGAGGTGGTTTTTCTTTATTGTTGCCGCTTCTCCTTTTTTTGGGTATAATTTCAAAAAGTTTTACGGGAAACTCGAAGTCTGACGACGTGCGCTACTAATCAAATTTTTCCAGTTACGATAATTGATTGTGTGATAACTTTTTTTTTTTTTTTTTTTTTTTCAGAAATCTGCGAGAGTGTTTTTTAGTACAGTATAATAGATGAAATGTGTGATGCGCAAGATATTTCCAAAAGTAATTTGCAGTAAGAACAGTCTTATGTCAAATAAGGAGCCTTTAATGATTAAAATGTCTTGCATTCTGGTATTTTGCCATACCGTTTCCCTTTGCACAAAATGCTTAAATTTTTTTTAAGTTTGTTTGTGGAAAACATAGAATTTTACTGGATTTAGAAAATGGGATTTTGTGGAATTTGCATATGAATTGCTGATAATACTGTGCACTTTTATCCAAAATAATTGATTTGGCAAGTTTCAGTTGTGTGTAGGAGTTTTCTGAGGCATCGGGATCCAAAGGGGAGTTAACTTTGTCGGGATCATTCAAAAATTGAGTGCTTGCTTTCCAAATAGATTAGTTGGATCTAAATGTGGCACTTATCAAATGGTCATTTAAAAAAATACTGTATTTACTTGCAAATAAGACGACCTCACATATAGAACAAGGTGTGACTTTAAAGATCAAAATAAAGAAAATTAGTTTTATTAATACAATTCTAATTTTATTTCATTTATTCACAAGTAAAATATCAAATGAATGTAAATGTGCACATTGTCCTGCAAAAATTACCGGAATTTTAAATTTTAAGGAAAAACCTTGTAAAATCGACAACATAATTTGTTCACATAATGCTGGACGATCGAGAACCTTTTTTGGCAGTTCTTAACAGTCGATTACACTTATGAGTTTCTCCGAATTCTGATTTCCAAATATCATCTGTTTTCCCGTGGGAACGGATTAAAACTTATATCGGGTGAGTTTGGAACTTCAATCTGGAATTCAATTCAAAAACTTTGCTTTTCCTATTGATATTCATCTTTACTCCTGACAATATGCAAGAACGATTCAAACAACCCAGATAAAATACTTATGTTTCTAGATACAAGAGGGTAAGCATCCGGTAAAAAATGCAAATACACCGGTGGTTCCCAAACTTTTTTATTCTAGGCACTCTTGCTAAATGCAGATTTTCCCTAGGTGCCCTATATCAAATTATAACATTAAAAAATTTGGGAACTGCTGGAATACATGGTTCACAAAAATTATTTGCAAAAACTCAAAGAAACTTTTGCCCATACGTATAGGACGACCTAGGAATTTGAAGCTGTGATAAATGAATAAAGAACTTGTCTTATATGCGAGTAAATATGGTAATTAATAAAATAATATACATTATCTGCACAAAAAGTGGAAATCGCAATACTTTAAAAAAAAAAAATGGGTCGGTTGTCATGAAATTACGTACTGTATGCCAGTTTTTTTTCTCGTGGAATGGAGTTTGATGTAATGCGTGTGGATTTTTGATCGTGCATATTTTTTGCTTGAAAGTTTATGTAATCACTAAAGTAGAATCGAGCATTGCTGGTTAAAAAAATGTAGTGTCAATAATAGAAATGTGACATGTGATTTGTTGACATTGATGTTGAACATTTACAATTGTTAAATCCATGTTTCAAAATTTATTTACTGTGATTTTATTTATTTTTTCACTGGTAATTTGTCATTTTGTGTTTATTTTTTATGTAGAAATTTAATCTGTAATTTAAATTTCCAGATTTCAAATTTTTGAAAGATGGAGTTACCTTCCCTTCGTCCTAGAAATTGTGGAAGCAATGTTTCCAAAGTTAACGAGAGAGGACAATTTGGTCTTTCCGATCCGATGATCGACGGGTAAGTAGAACTGTATTATGTTGTTAGACAAATATATATTTTACTAAGAATCATAAGGGAACCGAAATTTCAAAAATCGTCAAGTACATCATAATAATTACCATTTGGGTACAAATATATATTTAAAAGTTAAAAATCCAGAACTATTTCTCAAAACAATGCTAAAAATCAACTGTTTTTCACTTCACTAGAGACTACTAGAAGCTTATAAAATACAAGAAATGCCATTGCATCGACTACTTCCTTGGCTTAACCGATCGCACCACAAGCCCTGTTAAGCAAATTACTTATTTAACAAGCAGTCAAGAGGCAAATATTTTTGTCACAATTAGAGATACGGTTCCTTTTGCCTTTTTTTGGTCATCTAGTAGGGAGGTTCAAACCCCTCATTCAGAACTGCAGTTTTGCCACAATTTGGCCAGTGTTTGTGTGGTGTCAATTACTCTCTTATACTGTTTTAGTTTGAGCCAAAACAAATTGTGAAGTATTATTTTACTTACTGTGCAAATGACAGATTGATAAAATTAATATTTTATTTGATTACAGAATTAGGTGCAAATTGCAATATCATTTGCAATTTTAAAAACATGATTATCACACAATTTTTAACACGGACCAGAGGATTTTTATAACAGAAATACCCAGCGGGTATCATTTCCATTCGAGATCTCTTTCTCTGACACTTTAACAAATTATTTTTTATTTTTTAAACTGACGATGCAGTTTATCTTAAATGAATTATCTAAAATCAATCCATGTCAATGTTATATTTTCTAATTTGTCATTTAATGTTTATTCAACTTAAGTTTTATATTTATCAAATGTTTTTTTGAAGGAGAGAGAAAATCATAATTTCAAAAATCCAGCAACAAGTTGCTTAACTTTCCTGGAAACATATAACAGATGGAACCACAAATTTTAAATTTTATTAAAAAACATTTTATATTTTTAAGTACTATAAAATGGCAAAAAGCTTAATTTTGAGGTTAGGAATTGGTAAATGCTAATGAGTAAAATCGGCATTAAGTCTTGCCCTACTCGAGATACAACATGCAATCCCCTTCAACCTTTAATTAATCCCTAAAATTTAATAGCATCCTACTTTGTTGTAGAAAATTGCTCTTTAAAAAAAAAATTCTTATAATTTACATTTAAGGTTCCCAGTGGCCACTAGTATTTTTGCAAATAAAACTATTGATTTGACTAAAAATCGGGTGTATGTTTATCTATGATTTTCTTTAACCTCATTGCTTATCTCATATGAATATTTCAATCAATAAATTTGGCAAGATTACAAAATTAAGCCCCATCTAGCATAATTTTGAAATATGACCAATTACCGACAAAATATATTAACTAGAAAATATCATTTATAGTTTTGTTTTAAGAATTTTATTACTACTGGAAATGGCAAAAGTTTACATTTAATTTACAATAAAAATAATTGTTATTAAACATTTCCATGATAGTTTAACGGGACTTGAATGTCACGATAAAATATTGAAATTCTCTTCTGTGGATATAGAACTGTGCTAATTAGTCGAGTTGCTAAAGAATTTTTCCTCATACCAGATACCCAAACGCACTCCAGCAAATTTTTAAATTTAGCTGTTTTTATGACTTGTTTGAATATGTGTAACGACATTCTTTTATTCCGATTTTATTTCACCGGCAAAACGTTCGGGAAAAATTTATTTAAAGCGCGACAATTTGTTTGTAGATTGCATTTCTTTCAGTGCGGAATATTTTTTCATACGATGTTTGGCGTTAAAAGCTAAAGTTGTTTGAAAAATCTGAATAAAAGAAAATGAAACACAATTAAATTGTGGAAGTATAAATTTGTAACTTACTCATTAACAAAATTACATAATTGTTTGTCCTTCCTATGATTTATTAACTAAAATTAAAATGTTTTGTTTAGACATTTTATCATATTAAATAAATACTATTCTGATTGATTTAATGGCTATTTCCTCCTATGAGTGGATTTTGGAACTAAAATTTCTTTATGGAGGCTTTTTCCTTGTGCTAGAAGAAGTATACTACCAAATTTGTCAATATTCTGATTGTTAGAGTAAGTATCAAAATCTCAAATAGGGAAGATTTAATTGTACGGGGTGATTGAAACGTTGCGTCAGAATGTTGTATTGTCTCCCCCACCACAAGACGACGCTATAGTGAGTTCCAACTATTAATAGAAAATTTGACTTGTGTGAAAGTTTGACTTGACTTGTCACAAAATTGGCTGCACTGTGGCTTTGTTCATTGAGAAAGCAAAATTATTTTTTCCCGGGAGCAGAGGATTTTCACTGTCTAGCATTATTTCACTGGTCGTTCTTAAGCACACGTTGCAGTTGAGTTTTGTCAGAAATTTCTGGAGAGAACTGCAGAGTCGGATTTCTTTGACAACCACTTTATTTCTAAACGATTGTAGCCCCGTGATTGCCAGGTTTGTCCAGGGGTATTTCAAAGGAGCCATGTATGTAAAATAATAGGATTATTTTTTATAGTTTTGTGCCTGCTCTTGTGAATGAGGAGGCCATTTTGAATATACGTCGTAATATGATTTGATCTTGCTTTTCTTAAAGATCAGATTACAAACTTTTTTTTTACTATCTTCTGTATTTTTGTACGTCAACCTCACAAAATGAGTGATTCCTAATATACATGCGCGTAATTTTTTGATCGCCCTGTACCATTCTGGTGTTTCTGTGAGAGAAATTAATAATGCATCACACATGTTTACAAAATTATTCTTACGGTTCATTTGAGCATTCTGTAAGAAAAGTTAATTTTTAATTTTCTACCCTTTGATTTCCACCACCATCCTTGTACTTCCAGCACTTATAATTAATGCTGGAAGTACTATACAAGGATGGTGGTGGAAATCAAAGGTCAATCATAGTTCCAGTTAATTTATAAACAATGAATCAATAATGTAAAATTGGTACTATTCTTTAATAATTTTTTAGAGTAGCAACAATGACTCTTAATCTAAACTTGCAAATTCTGAAATGCCTAGGAAAAAATCGTACACAAGACGGATAAAGAATTAAAATTAATAAACAGGGAGATGCCATCATGCTTTGGTTACATGAAGAAACATCGATGAATAAACTGTTACGTCCCGGGAAAGAAACAGGCAATAAAACAATCTCTAAAATGTATCTTGCACTTCCAAGTAGTATTAGATGACTTCCAAAAAATAACATGCATGCAATTTACCAAAAAGCTTCCGGCATCCAAACAAAACAAAATCGGTAGCGAAAGTGTTAATACTCACCTCAACGTTTTACAAATTGGGAAGAGCGTAATTTAAAGTTTAAAATCAAAATAATGCAATAGATGTTAACAGCTGGCCGGATGATGGGAAATATAAGTTTTGTTCTCATTTTGCATTTTTAATAAAATAGTTTCTTGAGCATAAATTTATAAGCTTTATTAATTTGTTTTAATAGTTTTCAGAGTGTGCAGTCAAATAATGCAGAAGTTTATTCGTCTCATCCATTGGAAAAAAGTGAAAAAGAAGTAAGTACAACTTTTTTTTTTTAATTAAAAAGTACTGTTTTTTTAAAAAGTTTCGTAAATACAAAACAGGTTTGTAGAAATGTTCACAGATTTCTTTAATGATCATTTGAAAGTTTATTTAAGAAAAGAAAATTGTGACATCACTGCATACTGACTAATCCATCACCAACATAACATATTAAATTAACTTCGCATTCAATTACTTAATTTGTTTTTATCTAAATAATGATGTGCAAGTGGCATTGTTACTGTTTAATTGGTATTCCTCCACATTAGGTTTTACTAGTAAATTTTTTACACATCATTGGAAGTGAAAGTAATTTGTTACAAATGATGAGAGAGATTTTAAAAAATATAATGAATGATTCGATAAAGAAAAACCCCGATGAAATTTGTCAACATCTCAACGAGTATACAGGATTCCAATTTTCGGTATAACGTAGGTGGTCGAGTTATATCGGCGCCATATTATTTTATTTGTTGTGTGGTCTTAATGCTTTTATGATAGCCACTTCCATTACTTTGAGTCTTGCACTCTCTCTCTACTTTTGCTCATTACATTAAAGACAGTTTACAGGATGAACATGGAACATAGGCTTCAACTTATACTTCTTGCTATAGCCTTCACAACTTCCTTTATATATCTGATATTCTTCAAGCAAGGTAAGTAACGATTAGATTGACATGTAAAATTGTTATATTAATACCCTCCACATTTGAATCCATCTCTCGAGTTGAAGTGGATATATGATGGTACTGCAGTTGGTTTCCTGAAAACGAATGTAACAAATAATTGATTTACAGCATCCTCTTCTAATAATAAACAGCTCTTTACCACTAATTCTTTGTTAATTTTATTCATTTGAAAACAGCTTCCATTTGAATACTTTAACTCTTTCTCCAAATTCTGCTCAATCTGTCACCAAGATGAGACAAAACATGCACAGATGGATGAGATAAGTGCACACACTCTTTGGTCAGCCAGAGCTATCTTTACTGATGACTCTTCATTTCACAGGCTAATTTACATTTCTCCTTTTATACTAGCTATGGTATTTGCTGTCATTATTCAAATTTGACATTGACATCACTGAAATCATTCAGTGAATGTCAATGCAAATTGGATACTAACAGAAAAGTTGTAGGAATGTTGAACATGGAAACTGAGCTGTGTGAATTTCTGTTATTTAATTTTACACATTAGATGGTTTAGCCTCGCTAATGGTATCCATAGACTATAGGATGGAGGTATAGAGGATTGTTTCACTAACGAGATCGATTAATCAAAGACTCGTTTCAGTTTGGCATTCGTCGTCGACAGATGGATTACGCCATGTTGAAGAGAGTTCAGGGACTGCACGCTCCTCTGCGACTCGAGTACGAAAGGAAAATCGCCTCTAAGGTAAGCGTAGGCACCGTTTCGACGTTGGCCCTTCTCAGATAATCGGAACGGCTAATACACAAAGGTTTGCCCTACAGATCGGACGACTTCCCTTTCTTCCCAGCTCCGGCTTCATGTCCAACACTCTGGATGGCACAAATCTAGACCTGAGTTATGAAGACGTGCTGGCAGGTGAGTATCCCCTACCGTTTCCTTCCGACCCTTACCCCCGATACGACTAACAGACCTCTTCTTTCTTTTTTTTAGATCCGTCACACTCTGAAGTATTGGAGGTGCCTCTGGTGGCCATCGAGAAGCGTCTGGTAATACCGTGATGAGAGAATTTTGTAGTAGAAATATTTGTCTGTCAAAAATAAACAGTGTGTGTTCTATTCTTGTTGGAAATTTTCTAAAAGTTATTTTAGTTTTTCTTTCTCGATACTAATTACCTGATGGCAGTAGGGTCAATATTCCAGTGAGTGGCCAACTTAATCCTAGAAAAATTGAAAACGAGAAATTCCATTTTCCAAAACATTACAAAAAATGTTAAGCTGCAAATTCAAACAAATATGTCTGACACATTTTTATACTAAATACAGTGTACGTTCTATTTGAATCAAAAGTACTTGAATAATTAGTGTGTGAAGGTTAAAATTCCGACAAAATATAGCCCAATCATGTCAATCTGACAGCAGACTTGTCTAATAACATCCAATACATTAACAACATTTCTGTCCAAGCAGAGGAATGGATTTAACAAAGGAAGGTTTTAATTATAGAAGGAACAAGACCACCTGAAATTTGTTGATGAATAACTGCAGCACTTAGAATAGCATACAAAACAAATTACAGTTCCAGCTTCTGGAATTTAAATCGAAGAAGTGATGATTCAATTTTGTTCGTAATCTTACTTTGATGCTTTTAAAATGTGAACAGAAGGTAGAAAAAGAAGAAAAAATATAAAGAATTCAATAGTCTAGAGCAGGGGTGGCCAACAGTTTTTGCCCCCGGGCCGAACCAGATGCTGCCCTAGGAAGATTTTGAGGTGATGCGAGATCTCATTGTGGTGTCACCCTGTAGGGACTAAATTGTAGATAGAGATTACAGATACATTTTTCACATTATCATGCTCTATCAACATTCTATGCTGTGATTACAAGATTTGTAATGGAGGGTTAACTCTAAATGTACAGTGAATTGTTGACTTTTTTTTTCTTTTTAGGCGTCAGAATTTTTCATCGAGCTGTTTGGACTTGAGTAGCTAATATTGAAATATTGATAGCGTGCCACAAATTCATTTGACAGGTCGGATCCGGCCATGCCTGGTCTAGAGGAAAGCTTTAACAAACTAGGATGAAATCTGGTGACAGAATGTGAGTTTTTAATCAAATTGACCAATGCGTCTTTATAACTTAAAATTTATTGTGAAACTGTCTGTTCATCACACCCGATATAAGTATAAAAAGATCCATTTTGAAAATGGTAAACGTTGTTTGTTCTTGACTTGTACCTGACTTTAAGTAAGGCTCATACTGGTCTCTCGAGGTCATACTGATCCGTGCTCAGATCTTCCGGTTCCGGTTCCCAAGGACCGTCGGACGTACCCACGCTATGGTAAGTGGAACTGCCTGATCCTTCTGCCTCTGGTGCTAGGAGTCTCTGATGCTCGCTCGACTTCTTGCCCGACACGGTCCTCTTGACTTTATTGCCTAGATAAATATAATTTATCAGTATTTTTGACTTTCCAGGAACGGTGACATAAGGCAGATACTAACCGACGTGGCGAATGTGTTCGGAGACGTCGTGGGTGACGTCCGACACATCCCACATGGACAGGAATGAAGCGCAGCAGGGTGCCTGTGCTGCGGCCAGATCCACGAACGGACGATGCGAGAAGGCAAAGTAGTGAGCCACTGCTGCCAAAAACATTTCGATGCAAATTATAAAGTCCTGAAAGTTCAAATGACAAATATCAGAAATATAAAAGAGAAATCGGACAGAAGAATCAAACAATCCACTTACTTGTAAACTCCTCCCAATTTCTCCGACATCGTGTTCTTTACCGCTGGTAAACGACTGGTGTATGACTCCGGTATAAACCAGAATTGAGATGATCACTGACTGACTGTATAAATTCAAAAATTACTTTAAAAAAATTTAAATCTTCACCCATCTTAAATGTAGTTTTGTGCATTAGTAAATAGGACAGTCACATCTCAATAATCCTTACTGTCCACTTGGACACTTAATCCAACATTTGCATTCTTTTACCTTTACCTTAATTCCTAATCTCCTCTTTGATGTTTATAAGAGATGGTGCATAATGCCTACCTCTAAGCCAAATTATTTATTACTTACGGATTGTTTATATTTGTTGTAAGCCCAGTTATATTAAAGCCAAATGATTGTCAGAGTAGCTAGGAATACAGTGGTGCCTCATATAACATATGCTGCAAACAACGGTCTTTCTGTTTGGCTGTTACGTGACTCGGGCAATGGAATGGCTGCAAACAATGGACTTTCCGTTCGGCAGTTACGTGAGGCAAACAAGTGCGAATGATGTTTCCACTCTTTTGCCGTTGCCAATGACAATCTGCTATTTTTAGAATACAGTATATTAGTATATCTGAAGTGCAGAGCTCCCGTTGGGATTTGGCTTGCTCCCTTGTTTATTACATACTGTACATCACCTCAGTGCAGGGTATTTACATTTATTCAAGTGTTGTGCAAATCATGGCTTCTAAAAAAACAGAATGGTGATTTCAATTGAAACAAAGCAAGAAACCATCAGAAGTGAAAGTTGACAAGGAATACTTGTCAAATGGCTCTCCAGAGGTTCAGGAGTTTACCAACAGTCACTATCCAAACACAGCTGAGGCCAACAGGATCAATGATCTCTACAATGACACCCCCGTCCGTCATTTCCGACAGGTGTTGAAGAAGAGAGAGAAACAAACCACCTTGGACATGTTTTTCAAGAAGCCAGTTGCCAAAAAACAAAGGATGGAACAAGAGGAGTTGACCATGCAAACCCCAGCAGCCTCTCCTGAATCTGACTCCAATTAAAAAACAATAAAAAGAGACCTGCTGCAATGTGTGGAGAAAGTGTCCCTCCTCCTCCTCCTCATAACATCTGACTACCCGGCATAATTGTTGACTGTTCCATTTTCATTTTTTTTTACAGTACAGTACGGTTATTTTATGCTGCGGAACGAATTAGATGTTTTAACATGTATTTCTATGGAAAAATGCGTTTCGTATAATGGACTTTTCACTTAATGGACGTGCATCTGAAACTGATTAAGTTATATGAGACACCACTGTATATTACTGCTACTGTTAATAACTAAATGCTAAGTAATTTGGCCTAGAGGTAAGCATTATGCACCATCTCAAACATAAACATCTGTAAACATAATTCCTTCTCCTCCTTGTTTAGTTAAGGTAAAGGTAAAAGAACATAGGGATGGATTAAAGCATATGTCAGCATCGCTTTTGGCAGAGCACCGATTCAGTGTGCCATTTTTACTTTGCAAATGGGTCTTTTTGCAAAGTAAAAATGGCACACTGAATCATTCAATTTTAGTTCAATATTTTCCATCAATGCACAGATTTGCTCATTATATGGCAAGTGATCGAAATATTTATTATTTGGAGAGGATAGCCTAAATTACAACACATTTCTAATAATTTAAATAATAATAAACTACTAATTAAGTGTATGTATTCGCAGACGGACAGCGAGACCAAACGGCACAAAAGTTTGTGTTATTTTTAATTTGAGGTTTTACAAAGTACTTTGAATAATAATTTCATTAGTTTCTACAAAAGCACGGCAATTTCTTTAATAAATTATTATTTAAATTAAAACGGATTAGATGATACTCACAAAAACGAAAAGAAGACGACAGCTTTGATGCAAAGAAATTTTGCTACGGGTTTCATTGGCGAGAGCTGTTTTTTATACGCCTTGTAGAATAATACAAGAGAATACATGGCAACCTACGTGGGAGGAAAAAAAATCATCAAATTGTAGCAAAAGTGAATTGATACATGCAATTTTAGCATTTTGTTTTTAATAAAAGTAGATAACATTTCATATGTATTTTTATGCCCGTTACTTGGCAGGTGGTAATCTTATGTCATCGTGAATGACTCTACCTTTGCAAAACTAAAGGTTAATTGCATGCATCTGTTCACTTTTATAATGAATTATCAAGCTATCAATACCTTGACTGGCTACTATTTCATCTTAGAATTCTTATTAGTCAAGATATCGATAGCTTGATAATTCATTATATAACATATGTAATAACATATTGGCTATTTCATTTGCGCAAAATGTTGCTTTACACAGAATTTTTTTTCTGAACAGCAAGATTGTCGAAATATGATATGTGAATTTTATCCTGAACATCCAACAGGAAAGAAGTTGAATATTGTAAAACATTTTGTGACTATTAATTGACAGACTGTGTATTATACAACGTTCTTAGAAGATTGGAGAATTAGAAAAACATTGATAGAAAATCTGGAAGTGGTTGCGAATCTAAAGAAGGAAACTGAAAGCTGCAATTGTGAATCACGTACTAAATTGTTTTGGGAATCAGGTAGAAAGTTTAAATATGACAAGAATACCGTAACAGCTTTTGGTAGATATGGGAATAAATAGCCAGAAAAACTAAACCAGATGTGAGTGAAGTACAAAAAGAATGCTGTTTGTCATTCTCCATCAAAATCAATGCGAGCTGTGTGATGGGACAATAACATTTCATGCTGGATGGCAAGGAAGAATATCATGAACACCCTTTGTCTCCTGTCGGCGACAATGCCAAATATATCACCAAATCTACGTATTCAAAGAGGACGAAGCTACGATTGGCCATTGGCGAGGGGGGAATGTTCAAAACCAGTTTCTTGAACCTGGTTTGACCATGAATGCTGAACATTACAGATTGTGTTTACCAAAATTTACAGAACGCATTAAGGAAAAATCACTGAGATGAAAGGGTTGTCTTCCGGCCAAATCTTACCAGTTCCCATTACACTAAAGAAACATTGGATAAACTTGAGCAGTTAAGGATTCCATTTGTCCTTTAATGTCAAATTTCTCCTAAAACACCTCAGTTATCCCAGTCGAAGATTTCTGGACAAATTTAAAAAAGATGAATCTACATCAATAATTACAGGCCTAAATTGGTCAAAAACTTGAAATGGAAAATTCAATTGGAGCTTAAGAAAATGCCTCCCAAAACATTAGTGCAAAAAACAGTATTAATCTCTTGATGTTGGGCAGTTTGAATTATTTTCCTGTTATTTTTTGCAACCAGTTTTATTTTGTGCATATTTTTTCATCATACATTAATAAACTGAATATTGTATATATAAATATATAATGTACAAGGGTTACTTTTTTTCAAACTCCACCGACCCAGAATAAAAACATAAGAATGAAAAACAAAACCACTTTATTTGTATAAGGTAGTTAGTCTTTACCTATTTTTCCACATAATTGCCTTGTCGATTCAGGCAGACATCATACCATGACACCAGCTTTTGTATACCCATGTCGAAGAACGTTGCTGCTGGGCCGTTCAGCCAAACTTTAACGCTGTCAGTCAGTGGTATACAGCATGGGACTTGAAATTTGAGGAAATTCCTCACTGAGCTCAGAAATCTTGAATCGATACCTTTCTTGCACCAACTGATCCACTTTGTCCATTAAATCGTGAGTCATCACACACTTCCTGCCTTGACCATTCACGATCATTGTCATGTCCTTGTTTGAATTTCCTGCACCATTCACGCACATATCCATAGCTCATGAAGTTCTCACCATACACATTACACATCCTTCAATGAATTTCACCTCCCTTCAGCCTGTAGAAATCTAATAACTGCTTGTACTTTACAGTTGGCGGGAGACTGGATTGGCGGCTTTGTGTTTACTGCGGAGTAGCAAATGTCTAAAATAGCTTGGCACAACACTAAGTGGTGAGGTAATATACTACTCACTAGGTGTGCACCCTGTCCCCGTCTCACATTCTTCCAATTTTTTTTCATGCATTAGTGGAGGTTGAAAAATAAATAACCCTCATATTTTATGATGGTAATTTATGACATTTTTAATTTATTGATACTTACATATAAATAATTAAATACACACATGTAATATATTAACTTTCCCAAACTAAGAAAGCTTCAAAATTCATAAGTTTATATTCAAACACATTCCTATCAGTTATTTATCACATGATATTTAATCTGGTGCCCATTGATGTATCTTTAAATATATATTGTTTTTTCTGTAAATGTGATAAATTATCTAGTACAAAAATAATGGTTTAAAAGGTTTGTAAACTGCACAAAATATCTGAGAAAAATTCTTGCTGCTTTGTTCTTTCCAATCTTTAGCCATGTTTCTTTATGTAGCGAGTGTGGAAAAAATGACTTCACAATCAGCTATCGCTACACGTCACTGCATTATAGTTTAGAAACGCTTTCTGCTTGAGCCAAACGTGGAAGCCATAATCTACCCTTTAATTCCAGTTACATCCAATAGTAGTGTTTTAGTTAAAGAATTACAATATTTAGAAAAAGTGATATAAAGAATTGTTCTCATTTTCAGAAAGAGAAATGGTCAGAGTAAAGAGATGGAAGATAGATAATTATATTTAAAATATAGTATTTTCCTATTCTTTAGATGACTTTCAGAGTCATTTTAGAAAATTTAATCCTCCTTAATCTTTCCTTATTATTTTTATCAACAGTCGCCTCGACTTTATTTTCACATCATAATACAGTATTGCATTATACATACAAACGTCTATTTTGCTTTATGCGTTTAGCAGATGTAAAAGATGCTTTATCTTTGCTGCAGCAAACGTTTAGAAACTCTACATGTTGCCACTTTATTTAGATATGATATGATGTATAGCAATCAAGCAGTGCTGAACAGAAATGCATACTGTATTGAAATTAACCTATTGTCATCTGCATCATGTAAATTTATTGTGGTATTGTATTTATTTTTACAGAAACCTTTATTTTAAAAATAAACAAAAAAAAAGAGAAAGAAGAAGTCTTGTTGAATCAAGAACTGCACTGTCTATAGAAAAGATCATCCTAAGTTCATAAAAGGTTAAAGAATTGCCTCCTAGTTTTATGATTTTTAAGGAAAAGGAGGAATAAACAAACAGTATCAAGAACTGCACTGTCTACAACATATTAGCTTTTGTCCTTCTGGACAAATGAAATCCTCTATCTTTAATAATAATAATAATCATCATCACATAACTCCACAGCATCTGGTGTAGACAACATTCACAATTTCTGGTACAAAAAATTCACATCCTTGCACTAGAGCTAAACGTTTAACTCGTATCATCAACAATCCACAAGACATACCAAATCTTCTCACATTGGGGTATCACCTACATGAAACCAAAAACAACACCAAAGATCCTGCATAGTACAGACCAATTACATGTCTTCTAACACTGCAAATGCAAGAGGTAAGAATCTTATAAACAAAATATACAACCATATTGATGAACACAACATTCTTACAGATCAACAAAAAGGTTGTTGTAGAAATCACATAGGTTGGAAAGAACGACTACTCGTTGACCCTGTTATTGCGCGGCAACTTCATAAGTAACAAAGGAACATACACATGGCATACGTTGATTACAGAAAAGCATTTGACAGCATCCCACACACTTGGCTGCTGCACATACTTCATGTCTACAAAATTCATTCTCAATTCATTTATTTCCTTGGTTTTTCCATGCTTCACTAGAGAACAACATCACATCTTAACCTCCATAACACACACAAAACAAACCAAATATACATCAAGCGAAGAATGTTTCAAGGAGATTCCTCGAGTCCTCTTTGGTTCTGCCTTGCACTTAACCTTTATATTGCTCACTGAACAAATCACAACATGGTTACAATATCAGACACAACAAAACAACACGATTCACGTTATCACACCTCATACTGTACATGGATGATGTCAAACTTTATGCATCTGCACAGAATCAGTTTCATCTCTTACAAATTACACACACACACAAATGATATACAAATGGAGTTTGGCTAGACAAATGCAAAACATTCTACATCGAAAAAGGAGTTCTGAAGAAAGGAGACTTTGTACTCAGAAGTGGAGATATAATCAAATCAATGAAAGAGGGTGAGTTTTACAAATATTTAGGAATCTAACTGCCAAACTTACAGAACTTGCATAGATAAAACAAAGATTAACTCTCAAATACCAGAACAGGTTACAATACTAAGAACAAACCTAAATGCAAAACATACTATTAAAGCTATTAATATATTACATACATTGTCCCTGTAATTCACTTATTCTTTTGGAGTTATAAATTGAACATGCACAGATCTCGAGCAACTCCAAAGGAAAACAAGAACAACACTTAAACAAGCATAAATGATATCCAAAATCATCTGTAAAAAGACTAACTCTTCTTCATAAAGAAGCAAGCCATGGCGTGACTAATACAGTTAACCTGCACTACAAACAAATTCTGATACTGCAAGTTTTTTTCCACAGAAAATAAGAAACAGTAAGATTACATACAGCTATAACTCAGATAGTAACCATACACCTTTAAACTTACACTCTGGACATAGTCCAACACATAAATAACAGACACCACTAAGCAGTCATGACCCAAAATGCACTTCATAGGAGGCATGTCTACGATTAGTTCAGGAGTATGTTGACAAAACTTCATCAAACTACTGGCTGAATAGGCATATCTGGAGTGACTGAAGGGTTTATGGTTGCCATTCAAGATCAGGTCATAAACACTAAAAACTATAGAAAACATATCCTGAAGGATACATCACTCACAGATGACTCTTGTAGAAAATGCCACATTCTGCCAGAAACAATACAACATATTACTTCTGGTTGTAAGCTCTTAACACAAACAGACTATTTACATAGGCATAATCAAATAGCAAATATAATACACCAAGAGCTTGCACACAAACACAGATTATTAATTAAACACTCAGGTACCATACTATAAATATAGTCCACACAAAAGAAAATGACACAAAATATACTACGACAGCAATAATCACAGATAAAACAATTCATCACAATAGACCTGACATCACTTTCATTGACATCTTATATAATTGTTACAGTGATGTCTAACACTTATAACATAAAAAATGCTCACACTGAAAAAAATCAACAAGTACACTCCATTTGCTCAAGAAATAAGACAGATGTAGAGGATGGATAAGGTATTTATTGTACCTGTTGTCCTCTTTTCTACTGGTATTATACCACATACACTGCACAAATCTAGAAACATTAAACCTTAATAAAAATGTATACGTGGCACTAAAGCCGCAATATTGAACACGTCACATTATTAGGAAGTTTATAGATGTTGACATACATTAAGCTTCTGCGTTATCGGTATATAACACTTTAAGTAGCTATGCCTTGACTCTAGTCCAGTATAGTACTTGGCACCAGTATCAGCTGAGCATGACATTTACAATAATAATAATTATTATTATTAATTAGATTCAAGTTATTTGACAACAAAAACTACTCAGTTGGTCATATTAATTTGAAATATACATATAATGAGCTGATTACTATTATGAAAGTTATTATTCAGGACTTTGAAACTAATATTGGAATATCCTGTAATCGTTTATAAATATTCCTGTTAATCATTTTTCAGTAAATTTATATCAAATTTGTTTAATAATATATCTATAAAATAATTAAAATATAGACTATAAAGTTTAAAACTATTTGTTTTATGATTACAATAAAAACCACGCTAAGTCGAACTGCATTAACTGAAACTATCTACGGGTCCCGGGCAGAGTACATAGGTTATTCCATATAATACAATCTCATTAATTCAAAATTGTTAGTACAGTAGAGCATCGATTATCCGACTCAATTGGGGACTCAGGTTGGTCGGATAACCGAAAAAAAGGAAAAAAATACANTATAATAAAATAACATAGATGAAATAAAATAAAATAAAAAATGAAATAAAATACAGTACACAAAAAATTCATCCAAGTATAACGGCAGGTGCGGACTACGAATTTTTGTTTTAATTTTTTTTATGTAGAATTTTCATGCAGAAGCTAGTCCATCTGCATCCCTGGCATTAATACAACCATTCTTTAATTTACTTTTATAGATGTCAATTTTTTCTTTGTGCATTGCTAATGATAGGGAACACACAGCCCTGAGGATAGTTGCTTCATTCCATTTAACTACAGAGTCCTCTGCTTGTGCCATACTTGACAAAACTGTTGCAGTGCTCTTTAATTAATGTCATATTTGTTCTCCTTAAGTCTAATGACTAAATTTTTTTTTTGTGATCCCAGTATGGTCCTCCTTAATTCCTAATTGATAATTTTCAAAAGGAAAATTATATACGCCCACTTTTTCTTCTTTTTTAAGCATGTCTTTATCATTTCTTAAAATACTATATAAATTAGGAGCTCTTTTGCAAACTATTTTGGAGTGTTTTTGACTGATACTTGTTTCATGATGATATTGATGTTTTGATTAAAAGTGAACTTTGAGATTTTAAAGTGATTTGTCTGGGTTATTTTATATTGCCTCCTTCATATATATTAGGATCAGGTATTTTCATTTGTGTGCCAAAAAAAAGAGCTTTTATTTTACTTTGAATTCTAAAAAGTATGTTTAAGTTTCCAATAATTAATAGAAATGTTAAATTTAATAATAATAAATTTTAATAATTCATAAACTAAATACAGTGTTAAAGGATACTTAAATTTTTTGGATAAACAAACTTTTAATTATTAATAAATAAACAGAATTCTTAATAGAAACTATATGTATGTAAGCCTGTAAATATCAAAAATGTTCAAAAAAACTTCTCACTTAAAGATAGTTTACATGAAAACCTTGAGATTTATTGTTGAAGAAATTTATTATTATTAAATAAAAATTTTTTGAATACAACCAATGTTTTCAAATCTTTAAAAGTAAAAACATATTTTAATAATAAAACATATCACAATATGTAAACTTAATGTTTTAAAGGATTCAGTTGTTACATTTAGCAATGAACCAAAAAGCATTGAAACATTTAAGAATATATTTGAAACACTAGTTCTATTTGAATGCTTTTGATTGAATTTGGATGATCTTTACAAAAGATATGATTCTTGAGATAAGAGGTATTCTTGAAAATATTTAGAAAGTTTTTTCATAAGACTTCTTTTAGTAAAGATATTTTATTTTTGATGATAAAAGTAATCTAGAAAGATGTTTTACTTGTTATCTTATAATTTGTCAGTGTTGGCATTTATTTTTGTTTATATATTTAAGTTTAAAATCCTTTCAGTTAATTATATTTACATTAGACATTTTGTGGAAAGTGATAATTTTTTTTATCATCACATTTATGAATTCAAATCATCAGTTATCTTTACTTTCTAGTCATAAAAGATGAAAAATTTATATGTTTATTAAATAATAAAATGTAAGAGTTATATATAATATAATATAATGTAATGGTATTTCAATATGGATTATAGGTTTCTTTTATCATTGTTGGAAAACACTCCATGTATAAATTTTATAAAATTTGTGGTAGTATATTTGTTTTTGTAGCTTTATTCCAAAACTTTATTTCTTTTTATCTCTATAAAAAAAATAAATAAAAGTAATTGAATTGAACAAAAATTATGAAATTATTTTAATATTTGTTAATAATTATTATCGTTAGTTATTAAATTAATTTATAAACCATATTTTGCATAAAAACGGAACTGAGAGGAGATTCTATTTATTTTTAACAGAATTATTACTTTTTAATATAAATAGTTTTTGATGTCTCAGTGTTTATGAACATAAACTAAAAACTTTTAATTATTTTGTTTGTATTATTGAATTAGATAAATTTAATTTAATATTTAATTAATTAGAAAACTATTTTTATATAACTCTTCAAAGTTAAAATAATAATTTATTAATAAAGAAAATATAAATGTTTTAGATATAAATTTTTTAAAGATCTATTTTCTGCACAAATTCTTTTTATTGAATGAAATTTTATTGCTTTATAATAATATCTTGCATGAGCATTTTCTGTATGTGAATGCATCAGTTTGTAATTTATAATGAGAATTAATTGAATATATTATTCAATTAGATCATATAAAAATTTTCTGATTGTTTTGTAATTTATTTCTATAGTAGTAGAAGAGATGTTGGGCCATCTCTATGCCAGGCCTCCTTCAGCTGAGATAAAAACTGAGCTACCAGTCTCAGGTACTTACACAAATAATTGAACCTTAATCAAATAGAATGATTAAGCAGAAGTATTAATAATATGATAATTTTAATACTTTATATTAAAATATATTCAAGAACAATTTTGTTGTTTTACAAATCAAATTCTTAAGCAAAAACTAAACTTGTATATTTATTTTTTTTGTTTGAGTTTTGAAGTAGTTTTATTAAAAAATAAAGTGATGATGTATTTAAAATTTTAAAATTTTGATAATTTATAATAATTTATAGATTTATAAGCATAGAGTTTTGTAATTTCTGAATTTAATACTTTCAGTATTTAATTGTATTGTAGTTACACTAAAATGACAATTTATTTTATGATTTGTCCATTGATGCATTTATTGTAATTTTTATGATTGGGACTAGACAAAACAAAATACCTTTTGTTTATACAGGTTAGTTGGACAGTTTCAGAAATTTAAATATTGAATACATTGTTTGTTATATTACCTCTGTTTTTATTAGTTAAAAATTATTCATAAAATTATATATTTAAAGTCTAGTCAGTATGTGAAGATGTTAAAAATTTTGTGATAAAATAATAATTAGTTTTATAAGAATAAGAATGAACATGTTTAGAAATTTCTTATATAAACTGCATTTTCTGTAATTTTCTTCTTCTTCTTAGTGTTGTCCCACAGATGTAAGGTCCGCTATTCGGATCTTTGAACATCATTTTGTTCGATCGAGAGCATTGTCTGTGTTCAGGTACAGAGCCCTTAGGTCTGCATTGATAGCATCTTGCCATCGTTGCTTCGGTCTTCCACGTGGCTGGTGGCCATTCATCTCTAGGTGGTAGGCAATGTTAGTAACTGTATCCAGAATGATCATTGGATATGGCCAAACCAGCACAGGCCTCTCTCTCTCTCATTTTTGCCTCAATGGGAGCAATGCCGAATCGTTGGCCTGTTGTGTCATTGGTGATATGGTTGAGGAGGGATACACCGAGCATCCCGCGAGCCATGTGCATCTCCATGGAATGGAGACTCCGTTCGGCTGCTCTCATTGATGGTCAACATTCGGAACCATAGAGAGTGATGGGTCATACCACAGTCCAGTAGATTTTCTATTTCAGGTACATGGGTATCTTTTTGTCACAGAGAACACCAGTGACTTCTCTCCATTGTAGCCACGTTGCATTCATCCTCGTTCATACCTCATTGTGAATGCCTCTGTCACTCTGTAGGGTTGAGCCAAGGTAGCAAAAAGTGGGCTTTTTATATGAGTTATCACCATTGAACTGGATTGTGCCCACATTTGAAAAAATTTCTAGATATTTGGTCTTCTTGGTGTTAATGTGCAAGCCAAAGCAACTGAGATGGTTGCTTCAGGCCTGCACCTGGCACTGTAGCTCTTTTTGAGTGGTGATTGCAAGCATGATGTCGTTGGCTTAAAGTAGCATTCAAGGAACATCATTCTGTATATTCTTTGTGATAGTGTCCATGATGAGAATGAATAGCAGTGGCGATAGTGTGGAGCCCTGATGAATGCCAATGTTCACTGGGAAGTTGTCAGATGTACCAGCCATGCACCTCACTTAGCTGCTGGTATTTGTGTACAGGTGGGAGGTGGTCACAGGCCGCACTCGAAGGTATAGCCTCAGAGCCAGAAACGGAAGGAAGAAGAAAGTGTTATTGAAGTAGTTAGATATAAGGGGAAAATAAAGTGTGATAGGATAGTGGAAAGGTGGTCAAGAGGTTCATGAGCGCCTGCACCTCGTTTATTTAAATGAAAACAAATTACAGAACAAATTGTAAACAGTGATTTACATGCTAGATACATAAAGGTGTTACAAAAAAAATAGTTGGCACAACAATAGCAATGCTTACAGACTATTTATGTACATTGGTTTAACAGGCTTAATAGAATGCGAATTGACATGCCAAAATATAGATGCCGTTTACAAAGGTTGGTATTTGTGTACAGTATTCTGACCCAGCTGATTAGGTCCTCGGCACTCCATGGTTGTGGAGTGCATACCAAATGAGCTGGTAGGGTACGTGGTCGAAGGCCCTTTCCAAGTCAAGGAAGGCGACATGCAGTGGATTATTTTTCTTTTTCTCCTGGTGTTTCTCCATCAACCTGTGAACTATGAAGATTGCATCAGCAGTTCCACAGCCCCTCACAAAGCCACACTGGCCGACACTGATCCGAACGATGTCACGCAAACGTTGGTCAATAATGCGCTCAAAGATTCATGGTATGAGAGAATAGGCATATTGGCCGGTAGTTGGAGCATTCTGCTGGGTCATCCTTGTTCTTGAAGACTGGTACTGTGATACTTGTTGACCAGATCACTGGAGGTTGGCCAGTGACTATGACAGAATTGAATTGAAAAACACAGTTAGCCTCAATGTGCAGGTCCTTGAGCTTCAGATGTTGGCTGGCAGGTCATCTGGTCCATTCTGAACCAGAAGGCACCATTCTGGTTCTTTATACTTCTAATCGCTGCAGATACCTCCCCAGCCATGATCTGAAGGAATGGCGCAGAGCAGGGCAGACCCTCAGGAATTGGTGGATGTGGGAATTTAATGTTTGAGATCTCATCAAAATGTTCATGCCAGCAGCTCAAGATATTTTTCTTATCCCNAAAACAAACAACCATTCATAATTAGAAAATTAAGTCTCGTTTAAATACTGGCCTCCCTTCAATGGTCAAGCCGTTGATGCCAGCTAAAACACGCAAAAATTTAACAAAAATAATATTAAAGTAGCCAAGACATAGCCAAATATTGTAATGCCACATCACTAGCAGACATTTGAAATTTGCCGACTAGATCGGTCGGTTAATCGGGGGTCGGATAATCGATGCTCTACTGTACTTTTAACTCAAACCTATTTTCCTGTGTACCTTCCACTCCGATTAGTTCATAATCTTCATTTTCTCTTATATTTTGTATGAATACGAACATTTAAGATAAAACACTATAGCCAAACACGTCGCCATGCCATTACAACCTTGCATCGACGTTCTTTGTGTTCTGATTGGGACACGAGGAATTACCTTGACAATGCCCGCAAACGCACCATAAAATATATACAAGTTTTTAAATCATTCTGTATAGATTCTTGAAAAACATCTCAATAATAGAAATTTATAGCTACAGAGAATTTTGAGAAAAACTCGGTATTATACTCATTAACTCAAAGGTGAGATTTTCACCCCTTAAACTTTGACTTAACGAGGTTTCTTAAGATCAAGGTTTTCAAGGTTTCTTTCAAGATCTTATTTTACTCTCTGATATATTATATACAGTAATGACAATGTAATTGAAAAACAAAAATGTTTTACTTACAAATTGTGAAATATTGTTTATTACTACAATGTAAGGATAGGCAACATTAGGAACAAATTTTCCTTCTCCGTAAACACCTGATAATTCACATATCCTAAAGACAGAAAAAACAGTGTTTAAAAAAGAATTTTGTTTTGTTTTTTATATTCAATTTCATAATTCAAACTAAACACAGTGTTTAATTTCAGACAACCAAAACAACAATTTAGTTCTTTAGAGTTTTCCCCATCCTCACAACTTTTGGCAAAAGAATAAAAAGTTTATTACAAAATTATATAAGTTACTTTTTGAAATTTTTAATGTTATGTCTAATTTACCTCAAGTAATCTACAAACTAAAGAAAATAAGCTTTAAAAGATTTTAAACAGATGATAATTCGACACTATAAGAACATGCATTCTTCACTAAAACTTCGAATCTTACATTCTTTGATCTTAAAAACTGACCAGAAAAAACTTGGAAAGTATGTGAATTAAATTTCATAAACTTGACTCCTGTAACATATACGAAAAATAATTTTAAGCTTTAGACATAATTTGCTTTAGAAATAATTTTAGACTGAATTTGTAAATTGTTCATAAAAGTGTGTTCAATTTTAATGCATAATTATATAACGAAGAAGACTTGTTATATACGGATGAAAACATTAGTGTAAATATATGTTAATTTCAAGTACGCTGGTATGGTGCCAAATGTTCTAGTCACGTATATACATAAAAGGATAGCCCTCTTTTGTGGTGGCAAATGCAAGGATGGATTCTTTCTTTGTGGTTCTGCCTCAATTCTACTGCAATATGACAAAGTCGTTTGATGTCCTAGTCACAATATATTATTAAAGCTAACTTAATCAAACTAATAATAGCCAATCTAACCAAACCTACAATATATTGAGTTGAACAGAAAATTTGATTTTTTCAGCATATGTTGTTACAGAGATTATAAATGCTGTTTGAGTCTTGGAAGTTGTATCTGGTGACAAGATAAATGGACATGAAAACCATTTAATACCAAACGTAAAAGAATGATCTCAAAAACTATTCCTGTCAGAGATGTTAAAATATAACGGAGCTGGAATTTGATGATGATAAAATATTCCAACACATTGGATGCCAAAAAACCATCAATGAAGAAAAATTACAAGCAGAAAGTATTCTGATGATTGTTTGCTATTTGTGAATTTGCAATAAATCCAAATATATCACAAAAATGTATTGTTATTTCAACATTTCATTGACTTGGAGATATTTAGATTCTATATGTATAAAGTGAAGGAAAAATAAACTAAATCAAGAACCATTTTTAGTCACTTGTGATAAAAATGAGTGTTCTGCGACAATGTTATTTAAAAACAAAATACAGTGCAAGAACAATGATGAAACAAATCATGCCATTCATATTTGAATGGTATGATTTATTAAGAGCTTAAATTTTAAAGCATAATAAAATCATAAATTCCAAAGTCTGTCAGCAGTTCGATCAAGTAAACTAATGTTTTATATAACAACAACCACATCCAGTCAACTGGAAGGGAATCATCTTTCACTAAGATAACGCACACCCTTTCGTCAGTTTAATGATAATGAAAAGAAAACAATTGAACTGAGAAATTATTCTTTCCAAGTTCAATGCCTAGATTTCTGCTACAATATTTTTTTAGCAGTCATAATTAGGTTTATACACTAAAACTATTTAGTTTGAATTATTTGAAAAAATATATATAAAATTTAGACAACTGATTAGATTTAAACATATATTTACTTATAATTTATTAATAATAATAATGTTGTTATAAAATATTAAGCCACATTACCAAAAACTAATTAATATAATTTATTATCATCATTGTTTACTTACAACGACGTAATTGTTGTTAATGGACGCATTACTGTATACTGTAGAATACCATGTTTACATGCATGAATAAAATCCCTAAAATTCAAATATATCGGTTTTAAAATTTTTTTAATGTTTGTATCATATATTAATAGTATCAATACATGAATCCTGCTCCACACATTTGATATTTGCCGATTGCAGAATAATTGCCCATTTGTTCCCTTTGATTTGGCACAATATACCAACAAGGAGTTGCAAATGACAAATATTAGTCCCAAGTAAATTTTCCATACTGTTTAATATTGGCCAAATATTTTCTCGGCATTTGACGAATACCAAAAGCGTGGAGCCAGCTTAAATGATAACTCGTATTAACAAAAAAATAAGAGCTTTACCTTCCGCCGGGACACGGTTTAAGACAACAACAGGGAAATATATGTTTAACGGAGGGTTTGTCTTCGACTGTTATATCTAATTCCATTTCATATCGCAAAAAATTCAGCAAAAATACCATGAAATTATAAATAACATATGCTTCATAACATTCTCTACAGGTATCCAAATATATTCCAATTTTTGGAGATGTCAATACTAGCCACTATTTAAATGTATTTCATTATTACAATAATAATTTACATCTAAATATTTATTGATATATATTGCAATCACATTATAAAAATAAATACTCACGGCATTTAGTGCATAAATCGGAACCATCCAGAGTATTCTACAAAAAAATTTACCATCAATATTTGTTACTGATTGAAAAAAAATAAAATCAAATTTTGATCAATAAAATAGCACACGTTAATCTTCAAATAATATTAAGCACAAAATTGACGCGAACATTACTGCCGTACTTCTCGGACTATGCTAGTTTAGAGTACAAGCCACGAAAACACCAAGTTTATGGTGGTGTTGTCATGCTTAGCTGATGGGAGATAAAATCTACTATCATTTTCAAGCATAAAACTAAACTTAAAATTTCCCATCAGGTGATTTTTGTATATTATTGCAAAAGATGGATGAATGAAAATGGCATTAAATTACAGTTAAGTAACATATGAAACAAGCAACAAGGCAACGTGTTTAAGAAAGNTGTCAAGTGAATTAAAAACTACTACCAAATTAACAAAAACAATGATATAATAGCCATTTTAAACTAAAAGCTTTTAACACTATATACTAAAGTGATTTAAATATGGTGGTGTATGTTGAATTTAGTACTATGTATATCTCAGGATTCTAGGAGATCAGATGTATTTTTAGTGATTAGATTGGGAATTTGTAAGGAATGTTATGAGGTATGGTGATTTATCATCAGATTTTGTGATATTTTCAAGCCATATTGGCAATATGGCAATGACTGTTTTTTTAATTTTCTATGTTGTTAAAAATTTATTCAGGATGTGTTCAAATGTTTTTTAAAAACAGGCTAGAGTTAATTCTAGGCAAACTAAATAATTATAATTGCCTAGGGTCTGGATATGAAAGGAGCCTAATTTGTAAACTTTTATTTCTTTATATTTAAATTGAAATAGTTAGGAAACAAAATGCATTTTTTTTAAATCAATGAGCTTTTAGACTCATTTATTATCAATACCTGTAGAGTATGAATAATTGGATCTGTCAGTTTGAAAATTATCAGCATTGGATCATGTCTGAATTCAGTATTATATAATCCTAATTACTAGTTATCAATGTAGCATTAAATTTCTTATAATATGTAACATTTGAAATTTTTAACACATTAAGTGCCACAACAGAGGGACAAAATAGAACATATATGATGTTCATTTAATATAAATTTGTCTGCATTGTTAAAAAACATTTTTTATCCCCTTAATTTTTAGGCATGTTGTGAAATTGTGACATGTAACCTGAATGATTTTTTTTTATTATATTATGCCATTTTGTATGCTAATCATAAGGTTTTGAATTCAAAAGAACTTCTACCATAATCAAGGTTGTATTAATGAACCAATACAAATCAAAGAGAACCAGAATAATCACTAAAATAATATGCCTACTGTTATTTTTACTGATTATATTCACTGGAAGAAAATAAAAATTGTTTCTTGAATATTTGTTTTTGTGTTACATATTTTTATGATATTGTACTTGTTTACAATCAATGTGCAAGGAAAACATCAAAAAGGCAAATTTCACTTATGTTTCATATTTTATGTAGAAAAAAAATTAAATTCTTATTAGTATTTTATTGTAAAAAATTTACTGGGCTAAATGAAGTTTCTAATCCCACAGGCTATGCACTGGAAGAAAATAAAAATTGTTTCTTGAATATTTGTTTTTGTNTATATATATATATATATAAGTATAATAATAACGAATAATTATTTATTGTGATGACATCACAATGCTGGGCTGCAATTTTTAATCATATTTTTAAGTTATTTAATTTAAAATATATGCTCTCCTCCTCAAATTAGTAGCATTGTCCCTTACATCGTATTTTTCCTTTAACAATAAAGCCGTGCCGGTCATCTATATAACACCTTTCGGGGGAAAATTTTTGAATTCAAATAATGTAACTTCCAATTTGCATTGACGTTCCTATATAGTTAATTGGGACCTCCTGCCTCTAAGGTTTCCATGTCTGGTCTCATCTTTCATCTAACTCCGTTCTCGAGATTAAAGGCAGACAGACGACCGAGAATTTATAGGTCTACAATTCTTTCATTAATTATAATTGCCTTACAGTCCTTACTTCTAATTTATTTTTAATTGTCTACTTGGACATTACTCATTAATAGGACTTTACACTGGTGTTTAAAAATTGATACAATAATGAGAGTTGGTTCAGAAAAAACAAATTTTCTTTATTAAATCACCTGTAGTAGTAACTTTTTCTGTACGCTTAAATGTGTTTCAAACTAAATGCCCCTCATCAGCAGTATTACTACAAACCACTAAAAAATAATAATAAAATAAATAAGATATAGTGTATATTAAGTATATAATAAATTACTGGCAAAACAAGATAAATAGTAAAATGAATAATAAAAAAATTAAAAAAGCTATATATAGATACAAAATATATCAGTTATCTATACTAATATTATAAAGAGGTAATGTTTGTATGTATGTTAGTTTGTATGCAGCAGGTAATTTCCGAAACTACTCATCCGATTTCAAAAATTCTTTTACCAATATTTAGAATGGAACTTCAGGGTGGACATAGGCTGTATATTATTCCGTTAAACATGGGAGATGGACAGTTCTTTACGGTAAGCCTTACGGGAAAGGCTTACCGTAAAGAACTCTGCTTCTATTTATACTATTTTAGATGCGGTTTTTTGC